GTTTTACTTTTTACTTTAAAATCAATTGTCTATGGCACCTTTTTGTTTTCTTTTGAATATGGACAGGGAGTCTCACTGTTTTTATCCTATCAATTAATATTACAGTACATCCTTGGTAATACAAAATTGTACACCTTCATCAAATAAATTAGGATAAATTAAACCAATAAATTATGCAGTCTTCAGAACAATAGACAATAACAAAATGCACAATTGAAATTGCCTCTAGCTAAAAAAAATCAAAAATTGACTTTATCAGTTCAGTTATTGTACTATATTCAAATCAAAGGGTCTTTATTACAAAAAAAGAGCTTCATAATGCTATTTACAACATATTGCTAAATCATATAAAGGCAGTGTTTGTCACGGTTTATACTATATACATATGAGAAATGGCTGGGACAATGTTGGGGGAAGCTGTGACCTTTGACTCTTCTAGGGAGCTGAGACCAACTCCAAATACATCATTTTTCCTAAGTCTAAATTTGAAGTGGCAATATACAACTTTAAAACGCTTTATTCCCTCATAGGCAGAGGAATTTGTTATTACAAAAATATCTAGTGAATCCATTTTCACTTGGCAGGATGGCCGTTGGCCTGCCTGTTCACATGTGTGCATATTAGGGGCTGTCAGATTGGAGAGTGAGCTCAATTGAGAAGACTCAAAGTCCACATGCTTCCACGTAGCCTGCCTTAGAAGGGTCATTCAAAGGATGCAAAGATTAAACACCAGTTTGGATCCCAGCTCTAAAGGTGAGCATTTTAGTTTTCGTTCTTTTAGATGGTTTAGAACCAACAGAGACAAAGCTGCGCTTCCTTGCATGTGACACACAAGTTCGATGCAGCGACACACACCAACCATTGCATTTTCCAACGGGAGCCTTTGAAATCGACGCTGTAACCTGCAGACACAAGAGTTTACACCAGGAGGAAATGGTTGTGCTGTTCACACCAATGAGTACTCTATAATATACACAGCAAAGATTGTTAACGTCCTTACACACACTGCTGCTCTGGGGAAATTCTATAAACCACTCTTTGATTAATTTGTGGTCACTTTGGAGGAGAAGTCTGTGTTTAACTCCCCCCCAGAACTCTTATCTAAGTAGTTGGATGTCACCCTGCATGTGTGTAGGGATGTGGGAGGTTACTTACTAAATGTCTTCATGTACACAGAAAAGAAACATCAGAGATTTACAGGGACACCGTTACCCTTGCCCTTGACATCTGATAGAGACTGTTACCTTTTGCAAGTAGAGAACAGGATTTTTGAGAATGCTTTCAACTGCCTGTACAGTCACTGTAGAGTCCCTAATAAATTCAACAGATGCTGTGATACTGTAGATATTTATTAAAATCTCATGTCTTACATAACCACGGCCATGAGGTTTAAATATTTACATTTCCTTATAAAAAGTTCCCCTTTGCTTTAGTGTTTCTGTTTTGATGTTTTGAAATTGTTTTAAAAATGATATTCACCCATATTCCTAGAACAATAACCAGGATTTTTCAAACATAAAACACTTCGATTAAGTAATACTCGAGGCACAAAGCAAACCTCAGGAATATGGGAGTGAACAGTTACAGAAATAATTACTATATCCTAAAATCTTCCACATAGTTTTACCATTTAATGCAAAACATCTCCATTGAACAGCCGGAGAGACGGTGAGAAGGAAATAGAACATTCTTCTCACAAACATAACGAATGCCTGAAATAAGTTCTTAAATCTAGATAAGAAAAGGTAAGCTTTCCACTTCACACGCATACATATGTATATTTTTTACATGTGTGTGCCTGTGTGTTCACACACACATCTGCACACACATTGCACATGGTATGAAATATTGCTTCTATAGTGCTTCTCATTAGGCTAAGAAAACACAAGAGTTACACCACAGATACAAAAAAACTGGCTTCTACAAGAATCTCCAAAACTCGAATGCTGCTCAAACAATTGAGGAAAAAAATAATTTGCGGTGTATCAAACTGTTCTAAAAATTTCTCTTCTTCAAAAACATTATTCTCCCGCTTTGTTTTAAAAAGACACAAAATATGCATAGCTATCAACATTATGTCAAACAGCCAGAAAAAAAAATCTAGTGTTTATTGCAGCTGTAGTCATTGGAAATAAAGTAAAAAGAGATGAAACAGAAAGCCACAGAAGGCACAAGAACAGTTGTACTTGTGGGGAAAGAACTGGTATTTTGAAGGATTTTAAAAATCCCTGCGCTGGTGCATTTTAGATCTAGGCACAGACTATCACCTTGAGTGTATGCGCAAAAAAATAATATAGGGTTAGCATAAAAGAAGTGGTGATATGGAATTGCAACAGACTTTAGAGTTGGTCCCCAATCTCCCACTGTGAAAAGTTAACTTTCTCTGTGCGCAAAACAGTTTTCACTTGGTGAGGGCTGAACCCATATTTGAAAGGTGGTATATATTTTTGTTGTTGTTGTTGTTGTTTTATTTAAAAACTAATGGCTTAATAGGAGCATTAAGAGACAGGCTTGTGGCATTTTACCATTTTACTGGGAGACATATGGTCCCATGACTGTATCGGGAGCAACCACCTCAACACAAAGCTGTGGAGACGTCCTTCCAGCATAGAGCGAGTCTGTCCCGGGCTGACTGTGAAATCATCTACAGCCCTACTGAACACTGAGTGGAGATTCTAGGTACATAAGGGCACTGACATTCATTAGAAAACACACTTCTTTTTTTTTTTCTTTTTTTTTTTTTTTTTTTTTTTTTTAATTTTTTTTTGCTAAATTTGTCTATTTCAATTAGAAAGACAGAGAAAAACAAGAGTTTAAAAATCCAAGTAAGTCTAGAATCAATATTCATTTGCCCCAGATTGTAAAGATACCTAGCAATCTGTCTATCCTGGTGACTATATTGCAGCTTTGCCTTTGACCTTGGAAAGGGTAATGTGGTGGGAATTCGATTGGCAGGTGACTCAGAATAGCCAGGATCCTGCTGCACCCTTGCAGAACTCCCTAGACAAAGCATGTCAGACTTCCATACTTCGTACTGACTGAGCTCCCGACTCTGGTGTTTGATTTTTAGCGTTTATTTCACTGGTATGGTTACCTGGGCCTTTTGTTTTAAAGATACACAGAAAAATAATAAATATACCCTTAATAATTATATATGAACACCTGGGTGCATGAGCCCTAGGAGATGCCATCATAGTGAACGGTCAGTGTTGACCATGCTTTGCACGCTCTGTCCTCATCGCTGGGGCCTTCTGGCCTCCCGGAAGATGCTGGGCCTTGCAGGGCTGCACTGTTTAGCTTAAAGTCAGCAGGTTTTAAGGCTTTGTGCTGACAATAATTGTGTTCATACATTCCTGTCCATCAGCAGAATTTATAAATGATGTTGAATTACGGTGATCCAGCCAGCTAGACAGGCACAAGGGCTCAACTGCATCCTCCAAAGTCAAATGCTGATTTTTATTTTAAAAGAAAATTAATGAAAAAAATGGCATTTCTGTTCCTTATGCTTTAAATACCAGATCTGTTACTATGTTGTTTTTAGAGTGTGTATATCAAATTATCTAAGGGGAAGAAGGGGCCTGGACCACACTATTAGAGTGGACAGTGCTGTTCACTGCATCTACACACAAAAAACCCAGCCAAGAAAACAAGTGTGAACAATATTCAGCATTTTAAATGCAAGCATAGGACATAGTACATCATCAAAAAACCAGTGGGGGGGGGCGGGGAAAACGGCGACGACCATTTGAGAATGGGTAGAATAGCAGCTAGCTTTCTCAGTATGTGAAATCATGTGTCATCTTGGGTAACCCCAAACTAACCTATTGTCTGCTTCTCACACTTTGATCACTATTAGCTTCCGAAGTAGAAGTAGAAGAGACATCATCAGTCAGTCACTTTAAGACATTCTCCCCAAAGTGAAGGGAGGGATTACCACCCTTGCATACCATATGCAAATGAGCCATTCCTGGGCGGTATCCTCACGGGACCTGAAGGTCAGGTCCACTAGCAGCTAGCAACACGCTCCAAGAGTAGGCAAGGATTTTATGGTCAGAGGGATTTCTTAATTACTTACTGCAGAAAGGTATCCAGAAATTAGTGTTTTAGCAGGGTAAAAAAGGTTTAAAAAGCAACAGCAATGCTATGTAAAGTCAAGCAAAGGATACATTTGAAGGTACATGCCTTTTAATATCTGAAGCAAAATAAATAGAAAATGAAGACAAAGCACAAGGTTTTCTCTAAGTCGACACCTCTGAGTACTCACCAAGCACCTCATCAAGCACCTGTCATAAAGTTTTCAGGGACAGCTGGTCGACCTGCACACAGTCCCAGTCTCATCTAGAGAGAATGGGTCTTATACAGAATTTAGTCTGGAATATATGCATTTCTTAGAAAACGCTTGGTGAGGATGATCGTTCTAAAAATCTGTCCTTTCAGGGTACTTTTGAGATGTGAGCTGCCCAGCTGCTGCTGGCATTGGTTTAAATGTGTAAGAAAAAGTTACTTATGGGCTCAAATCAAACAAGGTATTCCAGTGTGGGAAGTGCTTTCCTTGGGCTCTTTCAGAACATCTTAACCCTAGAAACAAGAGATACCTCACAGGTCTAGGTACCTGCTGTGTCATAGTCAGGGGGTCACTCTGCTGGCCACCATTTCCAATAGGCTTCCAGGTGAGCAGAGCGTCCTTGGCTCTTGTAGACTTTACACAGGCTGACATTCCCTTTTCCTGAAAATCAACCCTACCTCAAGTCTCCAAATATTAAGGGCCTTGGGCAAAAGTAACTAAAGGCAAAGAAGGAAAATACCCATCCCCCTGTAATGAGGAAAAGAAAAGGGACCCAGAGGGGATGAGCAGGAACCCCCAGCTGATATCACAACACACCCATGCCTCCCCCCCATATATATATATATATATATATATGAAATAAAAAGCTAGACACACAGAAGTCGGACATCCAAGGGGGACTGCTATTCATACATTCAAAAGAGTGCTGCAATCTCTACTCATGGAGGAGTTCTTGTAGGCAGTTCGGGGATTTGAAAATCTCAGGAACTTCACTATCCAGCTTGCAGATGACCTTGTATATGGCCTTCTTCCAGGAAGGGTCAACATCTTTGCCTGCGATGATGGCATTGAAAAACTCCCGTAATGTGATCTGCGCAACTTCCAGGAATCTCTCTGGAACCTGCTGATCCAAGGAGACAATGGTATTAATAAAGTTTTCAGTTTCAAGTCTGCAGTTCTTCAAAGGAAACTGAGCTAACTCCGTGCTCCCAGAGAGGGGCTTTGGACGGCACCTGCATTTTCTAAAAATGGCCAGCCTCTCTTCCCTTATGTAGAGTTGTTATATATAGCAGCATTGTGATAGACGGCGGCTGCTTCATGGCTCTCAGGAGAGCCTTGTGCGAAGGATACACACAGGCCTGCCAGTGCCAGGGTTTCTCTGTGAACACCACTGTAGAGAAAGGAGGCCCACATCCCCATGTGGGTAAGTAGAACATTCTAGAAGAAACTCACCAACTCCTGTTTTAGAATTTGATTCCTCTCTCCTTTTGACTTCCATTATGGGAAAAAAAAAAATGTGTCTTAGCATCCAGTCATAAATGTTGGACATCTGTGTAACCTAAACCCCTATCTTCAATGAAGAAACCCTAAAATTAGTACTATAAAGGTGTAAGATCACAACAGGAAGTCCTGAGATGTGAAATTTAAAGCTGAACCCCAAATTACTACATTTGCTTGGACATTAGTATTGTTCCTTAGATGGTGGTTTGTGTAACCAATCACCGTTATAATAACTAGTACTTAGTGTTAACTGAATTGAGCACCATGTTACGTTATATACTGAATGCCATTCCATTCTTCCAACCTCTGTGTAAGATGTTATCTCAATTACACAAGGAGAAATCTAAGGCAAAGGGAGATCAAAAGGAGCCACTCAAGGTCATTCCAAGGTCATCAGGCCCCAAATAATCTTTTTGGAATTTCTATTTGTCAAGCCTTTGCTTCCATAACAATTAAAGTACGAGAGCTGTCTGTCTGTGTTCTCTTGCTTGTTGACTGAATAGTCTGACCTCTTGACTGTACAAAGAACACTTAGTGTTCTTCAGAAGTAACTCACAGTAAAGCATGGCCTACCTTTGTCTACATCAGCATGATGGCGTCACGGAATAATTACACAAAGTCATAATTTTCCCAGTACATATTAGTGAGATCTTATTTTTACGTTAAGTTCACATGTATGAGGATATAAACACATGGTATTGTGTGTGTAGACACATTCATCCTCAGAGACACAACATGAAAACCCTTCGCCACAGTTCAGAAGTGCCCGTTCCTGAAACAGCAGGGAGATTATTGTCTGTGAGCAAGTCCAACATCTTCTTTGCCTTTTCTCAACATGTGCATGGATCATGTATGTACACACACACATGTGGATGGCAGATGACCCAGAAAACTAAGAAAATCACTGCATGTCCCTGGATTTCAAATTTAAAATTGGACAAAGTAGCTCATTGCTTCCAATAGCAAGCCAATTGTTCTTTAGGGAAATCTAGTAACTTCCCAGAAAAAAAAAAAAAAAAGAATAAAGAATAAAGAAAGAAAAAGCCCTGATATGGAGTCTAGAAAAGGAAAGGAGAGTGGCTCACATCTTTAATCCCACCTAGCACTTGGATCTCTGTGAGTTCCAGGCTAGTCAGGGCTACACTGAGACCCTGTCTCAGAAATAAAGAGGAGGGTATTGAGCAATCTCTCCCAAAGGCGTTTTCCTTGGCCTGTCAGGACAGAGCTCAGAGCCTACTGGAAGAACACCGAGGGCCCCCTTCTCCCTGGCTGGGCAAACAACAGTCTAAGAACCCACACAACTCCCCCATAGATTCCCACGGAAGCACCTGCACACATATGGCGGATTTCCTGGACAGAGTGTCGAGTTCCCACCCAATGACAAGTCATAGCAAATGGGCATTACTGAGAGAGGACACACCGCTGGGGCACAGGTCTGCAGCCAAATGCTACACGAACCAGAGATCAGTGGTGCAAAGCAGTGTGCTCTCACTGGCTGTTTGCAACAGAACTCCATGGAAAACGGTGTTTCTCAAACAACAAGCCCAGAGCTGCAGGAGAGAGAAGCTTAGAGACACAGCTGTGAGCTCTAGAGAAAGTGGGTAAGCTACAAGTCCCACCCACTCCAAGGATCCCTCCCACCACCAATGCTCACACAACCAGGGGCAAGGAGGAAGGCCTTGTGGAAACTATCAGGAGCAGAACTGTCTAGATAACTCTACAAGAACACAAGCCCTGGAGGAGTAAGGGTGACTTCCGGAGGAATTCAGAGATTGTATCACCTGTACTCACTTTCCCAGTGACCTTAGCTTAGATCAGTGACTCTCAACCTTCCTAGTGCCATAACCCTTTAGCACAGTTCCTCATGCTGTGCTGACCCCCAACCGTAAAATTATTTTCATGGCTACTTTATAACTGTAATCTTACTACTGTTAAGAATCATAATGTCAATATCTGTATTTTCCCATGTTATTTTTGGGATCACGACCCATAGATTGAGAACCGCTGGACTAGTGGGTCTTGTCCTGTTTTAAACATTCGTTTCCTGAGGTCATCCTACCAGCTGCCCTGTGACAGCTTTTGTATTGTGTCTGGCTTTTCACTTCCTTGTAACTGGTCTAAGTGTCTTCAACATAAGGTGTCTTTCACTGAGGACTCCAGGTCTCTCTCTCCCTTTACCTACAGTTCAGAGGCACGCCTTTTATAATTATTCCACAAACATTGTTATCATTAACAAGAAGACCTCACCTCTCTGCTTTATTCCATAATATTCTGTAGTCCCCTGATATTCTTCTTCAATGCTTTGAGGACAGGAAGCCCAGATTTGAGTACAGCTCAATGGCATGCTATTTGCCTGGTCTGTGCGAGGTCCTGCATGCTATTTATTACCTTGGCCTGGGTGAGGTCCTTGATTTGATACTCAGCACCACTACTCAAAACAAAATTTTGAGCAACATGGGTCTCAGAAAACATCATTTTATAGATGAAAAAAATCCTAGGAGATTCTCTGGGATGGGATAAAGATGCCTGTGAGCTTTGTGAACCACGGCATCTTCCCACTAAAACGTGCTGGGTGCTAACACCTCTGCATGCTTTCCCACTATTTACTTTTATTTATTTTATCTTTTGAGGCAGGGTCTCATGTAGCTCTATGAGTGGCCTTGAGACTCAACAAGTTGTCCAGAAGATGGCCCTGACCTTCCAACCCTCCTACTTCCACCTTCCTGGGTGCTGCCATGACAGGCCTGGACCCCAGCCAGGCTTTAAGGTTTGTATAAAGGCAGGTTGACTCACCCAAGGCAACAAATTCCTGACAAGCTATGTATCTATAACTGCAGAAAACCATCTCCAAGAAGTCCTTGCCCTTAATGTAAATAGAAGTGGGTTAAGAAAGTGTGCTGCAGGCTGGTTATTGGGAACCGGTATCTTCTCCACGCACAAATGAAGGAGCTGGCTAATTTATTGCCTGCTCTGGGCAGTGTGCACACAGCCCTGTGCTGGGTGAAAGGCTTCTTGGAGAGATCCTCTGACACTGGAGCAGCTCATCTTTTGTTGGTGGCTCCAGAGGTAGCGTGGGTTGACGAGTGCTATTCTGAGAGACTGCCGAGGGATTCCACCCACAGGTAGAAACCTCACCCAGGAAAACAGGGAGCCTCAGCTCTCTGATCACCACCTTTCTCTACCTTTATTTGCTAGAACAAGGTAACATCTTCCTGATGTTTGGAGGGCATCAGGGGTCAGGGTAGGAACATGATATTGTCCATCTTTTGTGCACCCCCTCTCATCTAATGGCTTTCCAATCACTAATAAACATCTGCAGAAAAGCCCTTAGTGACAAGTAATCCCTTATCTAGGCTTCTTTTAATAGAACCCAACAATCTGTACAATGAACCCTCGAGTCTCTCTCCTCAGCATCAGGTGCAACAGTCAATCAAGTCACTGGAATGTAAGACAATGCAGGCTGCTGGGGGCGGGGGAGCGGGGAGGCCAGGCCTTTGGACATGCCACAGGGGAAAAACAAAAGGCTTCCAAAGTCTTTGGCAGAACGAGGAGGCTATTGTGGGAGCTGCTTGGCCCGGAGTTCTTCAGGAGGGGAGAGTGGAAACTTTGCTTTGATAAAAAGGCATCCTGGCCTAGGAGCCTCACCCCAAATGGTCTTGCCTTGACATTTAGAGAATACACGGGGTGATGAGGTACTTGAATATACCAGTCTCTCTGAAGGGAGTTGGCCAACAAGCACCCATCAATTCCATCCCAATGATTTGCTTATTGATCAGACTGAGCCAGTGACTTTGGGAGAATGGGAGGAGGAGTGGTTCGCACCTGCTGGGTCCACAGCTGGGCAGCACACGCATGCAGTGGGGTGGGTGGGTGCTGGATGCTTTGCTGCTGCTTTTCTCCTCTCTCTCTCTCTCTCTCTCTCTCTCTCTCTCTCTCTCTTCCGATTGAGTGGCAAAGACATCCCCCTCCCGTCTTCCTCCTCCTCTTCCCAGTTGCTTTACCTTCAAGGATGATTTGTTTTATTAAACTGGCTGTCCCTAGTCTCCGCAGTCCATAATGAAAGCCTGACATAGCAGGCTGCCTGCCTTCTGTGTCCTGCAGACACTTGTCATAAGTGTCAGGACATACCAAGGTTAGCGGTCACTGGAAGTGTGCTCGATGGCCCAAACCTTGCCAAACGCTCTTGGCAGCTGAATGAATGTCACAGAGAATAGAAGGGGAATGACAAAGGTTGAAAAGAAGACGACAGCCTCCCCTATTTTCTGGGGACAGAGGAGCTGAATTTTCACACCTCTGAAGCATCCATTCATCAGCCTTTTGCGGGGAAACCGTAACCCTGCCCTTTGCTGGGGTCCCCGTGGACACTTCTCCACCCTTGATCCCCTTCAAAAACTGGCCCACTGGCCTCAGCTCACCAGTGGGATCGTCTTTACTGAAATGGCTAGAAAACAAGCCAGGCGTTGCCTCTCCCCCTAGCCCTCCCAAGAACCACAGCCCAGTGGCCGGTTCAGTCCATCAATAGATTCTGATGTTAGTAAGGAAGACCTTTTGACACTATCTTCTAAGCTCACACTTTCCCCTCACACTCCAACATAAAAATGGAAGAGGAGTAAGCATGGA